GAAATGTCTGCTGCCTGAGCAAAACTCGGCAGGCGAAGTAATTTTCTAGTAGATTAATTGTAGGCAAGGAGTCTATCATTGCATGAATTCAGTTCTCGTTCATGAGGCAAACATTCTTTTTACTTAAATATTGATTCTAGACCTATAATATACTGAGTTCCTGAAAAGGCACGAGGACGAGATTCCCTATTGACAAGGACATTGGTAACCTATTGTAGGCGAATTAAAGAACTCATCGAAGCCGTGTGAGTCATGCGAAGTCACATCTTTTGCAACTGACGATGTAAGCAGTTCCAAAATATTAGTAACTTGTCGGATTGTGGGAGCAATTTAAAGTAGATTCTTCCGAAGACAATTATCGCCTTTTGTCAAAAATCTAGACCTGGCAGGTGATGTAGAGAACAGTGGACAACATAAATCCTATTGGAGTAGGTGGAAAACTTCAGTTCAAGCCTGTGAGGCTGCATTTCACTTATAATAGTAAGATCAAATTAGGAAGAGGAAACATGAGGTCCACTTTCATTGGTTTTTGGATTAGGTAAAATCAATGAAGAATAGTTGGTAGTAATTACATGTATGAACTACACGCTACAGAGTAAACCGTGTATAGAAAATTATCCTGTACTTATCCTACAGCGGCGGAAGTTATACCATAATGTAAACGATGTGTCTATATTACACACAAAAACCTCCACATAAAAATGGAACTGAAGCGTCGTGTTTGAAATTATTGAAGCAGATGCTACAATATTCATTCCAAGACAATAGCACCTGTAGAAAAGGTTCAATGACGTTCTATACAGGTAAAATCGGTAAAGAATCATGTATACGACTATGAATGCCAAGACAATATAATATAGAACTTTAATTGTTATTATCCTTCCTCGGCTGAAAATATATATCAAAACTAAATGATTTTTTTATAACTCCCCAGATATGTAATTAATAATATTGTTATAACAATGAAAGAGGGGATGCTATCGCGATCCGTATAAAGTGGTAAACGTTCTTAACATAGAAAGTTAAGAAACTTTGTGGTTGGCGATAGGAAAAAGAGAAATGTTAGAAATTTATAGACAGAGTATATTTCCCTTCAAAGATGAATTTTCTCAAACATGTTTTGAGGTAGAAAACTTTCAAACTACTTATACGGATTTTACGAGACCTCTCTGTCTGTAGTGAGTGTGCTACTCGACTAGTAGTTGACGATATCAAATGACTTGGCGCCAATACTGGTATCAGGAGGGGATATCACTTTATTTAACTGCCACCATGATAACTTTTATCTTTTTAGCTAAAACCTTTTAATTTGGAAGAGCTGAATTTGCGAGGTAGTTGTAGGAAAGAGTCCATAAAATAGTTCTTTTGGGAAATTACGTTAGTGACTGAGGCCTACTCAGATAAGAAAGGTCGATATATGGGAGAAATCTTTGTCTTTGCTTATATCCGTTCGCTTTAGATGAGTGAATGTGTTCGAAATCATGGAGCGATATATTTAACAGCAATCACGGTTAATTTTGTTCTCAAAGACCCAGGGAAAGAATTCAAAAATACATTGCAGCCTGTAAAATCATTTTGTTGTTGTCATTTTCACCATGGCGAAAGATTTCCCATGTTTCATCATACGCATACAAAGTTTGTTTCCTTACAAGCGTGGAGGCAAAATTTGCATGGGTAGAGATTGAAGACATGCTTTATCCATTAAGATGGTTAAGGAACACTGGAATATTCATGGGAGTATCTATCGCTAGATCGAATAGGTCTTTGATCCAGATCGAATAGGTCTTTGATCCAGATCGAATAGGTCTTTGATCCAGAAATTGTACATTTGAGGCAATCTATAGGCATGGTCTTGCTTTTTTGATCTGTTTCTAAATCACTCAGAAAATTACAACCAGATTAGATCCAGTACAAGCTGATCAACATAGTGTCCACTGCCAACATTTCTCGATCCGGAACCGGAAATGCAAAGGTGAAATAGCTTGTGATTCAATTCGGTGGTGAAGAGATCGATAGTTGATGTTCTCTTCAAGTATAAAAAATCAAGTGATGTATTTGAAGAATAAGTAATATGATAATAAATATATACAGCATTATGTGATTCATTGCATATTAAAAATAATTTTTGATTTTGAATTTTATTTTGATATTCTTACTATGGGCTTGGAGTATTTGAAGAAAGGTTGATGTGCAATTTCCATCAAGCCATTAGCGATATAGCATGGTGTATGGTGAAGCACAGAATGAAATAATCACATAGTTACTCTCTTTTTTTTCTCTTCTTATATTTTCGGAATCTTAAACTTGCAGCTCCATTTATTCGACTCTTCACTATTAATCTTTTGAGTAGTGTTCAATTAATGCTTTAATTTGTTTCTAAAATTATAATTATGCCATCAAGGTATGAATAGAAACATGTCAGGATCCTTCATTGATCCATGTCATATGCTAGCAAGTTTTCAGGAATAGACTGCGAATAGCACCATGTAAAGATTCTATCGCTGCAAACAGTAGGAGCTGTAAAAAAAAAAAATAACGAAAAACCCTCTACTAACCAAAGTCCCTCTGCAGGAGCAACTCTAAAGAACTGTCTTGCTCTTTTGAAATTTCACAGATGTAATTGGCAGGAATACTGGCAGTCAGCGTGCTCCAACCATAGGCACCATCTTGACCTGAAATCACCACAAAGTGTCACATTCCGTTAATTACTTTCGTTAAGTGTTAAATTTCGATCGACTTTTAAAGTGGTGCCTTCAGATGATGATTGATAAGTCATGTTCATTTCAAGTCTATCATACTTTCAAAGCATTACCGCTCCTAAAACCAAGAGTTCCATTTAATTATCAACCGGTAGTAAAAGTTTCAAGGCTGTGCGTGAAATCCTTACATTTACTGTCTCGAATATTTCAGTTAGCACAAAAGAATTATTCGAGATTTCCAAATGGTGATCCTGTGATGAAATTTATGGTGTTTTATTCTTATTTAAAGTTTTAACTGTTTGTTTTGCTGGATTTTTCCCTTAAAAATGGACCAATGGCCTTCTGGATAAAATTGCTCCAATAATCTGGAATCCTAGGCATATGTACTGCCGATTGAAACAGCAAACACAACCACTTTCTTTGAAGTCTATGATCCTAATCTGCATTCTTGAAGAATTTCATGTCCTCCTATCTCTAATGATCGTGCAAATCCAAAGGAAATTGTATACAATTTCGCAATCAATAAAAAGATATTAGAACAATAATTTCCACTCTGCCTACCCACCAGCCTCTGGAACTTTTATAATTGATTATTCAGAGGTTCATCTTTGACCTTCGACCTTTAGTCCCGTCTCTGTACCAGGAATACTTGACATCGTGCGATGAATTTGTGTGCAAGCGGATACTAAAAGAGAACAGCTGTTTCGCCTGATGAAACAGAAATCTGTTGACCCTGACATCTAGACTCCCACTCACCCCACCCCACCCAACGCCACCCCACCCCACCCCCACACTTACACTACCAGGTGTTAGTTCTTAAATTTGTATAGGATAATATCATACTGGTGTTCATCTCTGTGATAGAGAGGTATTGAAACTTTACACAATCAGAGGAAGTCTACAAAACATGTGTGATAAAACCTTACACAGAACGTAAACATATGCGTATAGGTCTATTCAGGACATGGTCAATAACAATCCAATTTATTTGAGATTCTGTCGATCCAGTTTCGATTCCCATATTAAACCTTGAGTCGACTGTGCAAGGATTAGTAACTGCCCAATGTTATTTTCTTACGATTCTCCATTTTGCTTCCTTTCTGTGATTTTACGATTGTAGAGTATTTATCGCAAAGGTCAGTGATATTTCTTTAATAGATAGACCTAAGATTTTCTGTATAATTTATACTGATAAAATTGCCATTCCAATGGCTGATATTTAATCTTGTTTACAGTTATTTACAATATTCAGTAATTGTTTAGACCGTAAATTAGAATATTGTCTTATTTTCCGGTATTTGAAAAATAAACAGATATATGGCAAACATCCGTCCGTCTTCAATACAAATATTTACATGGCATCACGTTTAATACTCAGAGGTCATGTCGGAAAATGAAAACAGTTGTCGTTAGTGATATTATTATTTCGTCATTATTATGTCTTGTACTCGTTACAATTCAAACATGCACCCAATCTTTATATGAGAGATACGATATTGCCATATATCAATCAAAATTCATTTGTCGATACTATCGAATTGCTAACCAGTAGCTCCGTCTGGCGTCGTGTGAGGCCGCATATAATCATTTTCACATTAACGGTTTGTCGCAAATAGTAGATCTATTTTCTAATACCTAGATGACTGACCTACCTATCAAATATGAAATTCAAATGATTATACCTTCATGATTTTCAAATAGTTTTATTCTGTGGGGTTTTTTTTTCAGTGTATATGCTTAAAATTTAAGCTATTTCAATATGGTGGGTAATTGTCAAGAAGAGAAAACAAATGTGATTTTGTTGACGGGTTATAGATAGAAAGATGGAGAGATGGATATAGGATATATTGTGTTTTTCATTATATCATTACCTCCAGCTGTGTAGACAATAATAGCATTGTAGGAATTTGAAGTGGGTGGCAGATTCCAGTACGTTGGTCCAATATGAATTTGATTGTTGTCCCCCTGCCACGTGATCACTTGGTCTACATACAACCCACTTGTCAGCCAATAATTGGTTCTAAAAAGAAGAACCTACGTTACATGTAAGTTGTTTAATTTCTGTAAGTGGACAGTAATAGTTATGGATATATACATGCATAAGTACATACATACATACATACATACATACATACATACATACATACATACATACATACATACATACATACATACATACATACATACATACATACATACATACATACATACATACATACATACATACATATAATTTCAAATTGTTTTAGTCGTTGAAAACGTATCTAAGCTTCATATGAAAAGGTGTAAAAAAAAAAAAAAGCGGTTGCCTAGTGGTTAGAGCGTCCACCTCGGATGTGGGAGGTCATGGGTTCGAACTCCGTCCGAGTCATTCCAAAGACTTAAAAATGATAATAACAGCTGCCTCGCTTGGTGCTCAGCATTAAGAGGTTAGTGTTAGGACTTGTCGACCTGGCGTTTTGATGTGACTGGGTGGTACATCATACCACATGTGCTAGATATCACTATAAACTATCATACTGTAGACATCGTAGCGATATGGCTGAAAAATTGTTAGTTACGTTGCATACATACATACATGCATGCATGCATGCATGCATGCATACATACATACATACATACATACATACATACATACATACATACATACATACATACATACATACATACATACATACATACATACATACATACATACATACATACATACATACATACATACATACATACATACATACATACATACATAAATGTTTCAGTCGTTGAAAACGTATCCAAGCTTCTGATGAGAAGGTCCTAAAAACAAGGTAAAAAGCGAAGAAGCGATGGAAGGAGAGAAATAAGAAAAGGTAAAAAGCTAGAAGGAAAGAAATGGAAAAGAAGAAAACGTAGAAATAAGCATATAGACAGAAATTTAAAGAATAAAAACAACGACAGACGAGAGAAAATTACAAGAAATTTGATTATAAAAAATAATTATACATCCAGTCACCTACTATTTGTACGCAGCAATATACTCAGCTATATCCGGAATTTAACCATGATACAAATTTTGAATGAGGTCACAGAGTCAATAAATATAGATCACAACTACTTTATATTAGTAAGCTGGTATTCTCCTTAAGGAAAACACACACAAACTAACATAACTCTTCTGCCAGATGTGCCTGAGAAAGTGACCTTAACGGAAAACTAGTGACGGACAGAAGGACAAGGATAGCATCAAAATGACCGTCCCATGCGGGTCATAATAAAAAAGCAAAAAAAGACCCTTGAAATAATCTTATTCTGACAACAAAGTATAACATCACAAGCTTTTGAGAAGTACCAGATTTATTTATAGTCACCAGTCAACTATGCAATACACATAAATGCTGACATATAACTGAATACGTTTGACATTTGTTTTATTATTTCACACAACGATAAAATATGTGCGATAATTTAACATCCATTCTCTCTCTCTCTCTCTCTCTCTCTCTCTCTCTCTCTCTCTCTCTCTCTCTCTCTCTCTCTCTCTCTCTCTCTCTCTCTCTCTCTCTCTCTCTCTCTCTCTAGCAACTACTTACTAATTCTTGGTAGATTGTTTTGGACTGGTTAACTTACGTGCTAGCGTCAAATTGAATCAGCCATTCAGAAATAAATCTATGTTCCTCGGCATTATTAACACTGACAAGATTCGCACCATACGACTGAAAGTGTAAAAAGTTTGTCGTTTTCTGAAACAAATATAGTCAATGTGTTGTGTTGCACAAAAATCTCATACTGACCATAAACCAGTTCTATTTTTAATTTTCCACTGAAAAGAGCTCCAACCAACGTACTTGATTGGTAAAATGAAAAAAAAAATATTAAGCATCAACTTGATGTAGAGTATTTAAACGAAAAAATACTAAGCATCAACTTGATGTAGAGTATCTAAACGAAAAACTACTAAGCATCAACTTGATGTAGAGTATCTAAACATAACAATACTAAGCATCAATTTGATGTAGAGTATTTAAACGAAAAAATACAAAGCATCAACTTGATGTAGAGTATTTAAGTTAATAGAAAAAAAGTCAGCATCATTTTGCTGTTGAATATTTAGGTTAACACAAATATTACTCAGCATCATTTTGCTATTGAATATTTAGGTTAACACAAATGTTATTCAGAATCATTTTAGTGTTGAATATTTAGGTTAACACAAATGTTATTCAGAATCATTTTGGTGTTGAATATTTAGGTTAACACAAATGTTACTCAGAATTATTTTGGTGTTGAATATTTAGGTTAACACACACAAATGTTATGCAGATTCATTTTGATGTTGAATATTTAGGTTAACACAAATGTTATTCAGAATCATTTTGGTGTTGAATATTTAAGTTAACACAAATGTTACTCGGAATCATTTTGGTGTTGAATATTTAGGTTAACACACACAAATGTTATTCAGATTCATTTTGATGTTGAATATTTAGGTTAACACAAATGTTATTCAGAATCATTTTGGTGTTGAATATTTAGGTTAACACAAATGTTACTCAGAATCATTTTGGTGTTAAATATTTAGGTTAACACACACAAATGTTATTCAGATTCATTTTGATGTTGAATATTTAGGTTAACACAAATGTTGTTCAGAATCATTTTGGTGTTGAATATTTAGGTTAACACAAATGTTACTCAGAATCATTTTGGTGTTGAATATTTAGGTTAACACACACAAATGTTATTTAGATTCATTTTGATGTTGAACATTTAGGTTAATACAAATGTTATTCAGAATCATTTTGGTGTTGAATATTTAGGTTAACACAAATGTTACTCAGAATAATTTTGATGTTGAATATTTAGGTTAACACACACAAATGTTACTCAGCATCATTTTGATGTTGAATATTTAGGTTAACACAAATGTTACTCAGCATCATTTTGTTGTTGAATATTTAGGTTAACACAAATGTTACTCAGCATCATTTTGATGTTGAATATTTAGGTTAGCACAAATGTTACTCAGCATAATTTTGATGTTGAATATTTAGGTTAACACAAATGTTACTCAGAATAATTTTGATGTTGAATATTTTGGTTAACACAAATGTTATTCTGAATCATTTTGATGTTGAATATTTAATATAACGCAAACGTTACTCAGAATCATTTTGATGGAGAGTATTCAAGTTATAAAAAAGAAGTCAACGTCAATAATTGTTTTTTATTATTTAAGTTAATTTAAACATTTCTAAGTATTTGAACATTTAAGACAATATAAAAATGATACACAACATCAATGAGTAATAGACTGCCTATGTTCCAAACACAGACCCAGAATTAATGAGGTATGGAGTGACTTTGTTTAGCTAGAAGACTAGGCTCTGCATATCCACGTAAAGATTGATGTAATCTTTATTACCTTGATTCACATTCAAAAGAGTTAACGACTGTGTATCAAGTAGAGTTTCCTTCAAAAATGTTGCATCCCAGTTATTGACAGAATTCGTAGCATGATTCAGGAAATCAAAACAAAGTGCTATCTTAAATCTGTTGCAACATGAAATTTCATTGTTTATAATGAGGACACCCTCTTACAAAAAGGGTTCATCGAGAAATTTTGAAATATAAGCAAACGAACAAACTTTAACTTAAACCCTTAAGCCAACTGTCATGTTCAAAGAGACAAGAATGATTTGTTTCGTCTTATTATTTGTTTTGTACAGATTTCGTACAAATACAAATAGAATGGATTAATGGGCTTTAGAAACTCAGGTATATTAAAAACATTAATTCTTTTTACGCAACTCTGTGTCGCTAAATGAATTGTCTCTTTGTTTTCCATTGATTATTCCCCATTAGAAACAGAATCCATGTAGGGATTTGAGAAATGCAAGTAAATTAAATATTAACCAAAATTTACAGTCCAATGTTCTAAAGCTGTGGCTTTAGTCTCCCCTCCCCTGTTAGTTGGGCAAAGAAGCGTGTCGTAGAATGCATTGATTCTGCTTCATAATAATTCGTACTAATTTAAAACGAAATGTATTTAAAGGTTCCCAAAGTGAAACGAACTGTCAAAATCGTTATCTCAAAAACCTTTACCTTAACGCAAATTTTCGATGTCTGTGGTCTTGACCATAATGTCAATGAAACGAGTGAGCACGTTGCAGAACGAATTGCTTTTGCCTCATAAAGATTTGCTCTGTGTTTGGTCATAAGTTGAAGGTAATAGAAGCACCTGAAAACCATTAATCCAGATCTTCTGATTTTCAAAGACTATGACCTTGCCACTAAAATAAAATAACCAAGTGAGTGTGTAGCAAATTGCATTATTTTTTTTTACTTCATAATTGTTAATTGTAAGTAAAATACAATCCATGTATCCATTAAGTAAATACGACCTAATGGAACACAAAGCACAAACTTAATGCATATTTTCTATGACTTAAATCTTGTTCACATGCTCCGTTAATCTCGAATAAACTATCTTTGCTTCATGACGATGCATTACAGGTATAAACTGAATATACGTTTACAAAATACAAGCAAATTAACACTTCAAAGAAGACTTGACAGAAACCTTTAATGAATATGACCTTGACCCAAAGATTAAACAGACAAGTGAAATTTTTGCAGAAAGAATTGTATTGCTTCATAACGATTCGTCCCAAATAGAAACAAAATCTATTCGGTAGTTTAGAAACTATTGACCAATATATTATTTACAAAACTGCTGATGACTCCGTTGTTTCTAAACTTTATGAGTTGTTTAGTGGTTAATTTCAAAGAATTTAATATAGCAACATTTTCAATATAATTGGTGCTAATCTGTATATATGAAAACTTTGCGGGAAGACGTGTTGGATGTTCTTAAGTCCTTTTGATACTGGCAGAGGTTTCATTTTAAAAAATGGACAAGATTAGAACAGTAGTGGCGGACGCGTTGGGGTCGTCGTTCTATAAGTCCAGATAGCAACGTCCCTCTTGCGGTGGGGTGAATAATTCTGACCCTCATAAGATGAACCGGTGCTGGCTTATCAACTTAGGTTATAATTGATTTTCTTGATGGAGAAATGTGAAATTTGCTTACAAATATTTTTTTAAACATTTTGTATAAAAATTCATATTGACACTTCATGTCTCTTTTGATTTTAAAAATATTTTTGTTATCGAGTTACCTGAAATTGATATTTAACCACTGAAATATTTTTGTAGTTCTTTGAATAAAATTAATATATAACAATATGCGTCAGCTGAAAGCATTACAGATTATTAAGATATTGCAATATATAGCTTCTTACAGTAAGTAGTATCAATGTCGGGGAACCAGGTGATTCTGCATCATTTTGTTTTTACTTATTAAAAGGATGGAACCCATACAATCATTAGGAA